GGAATGGTTCTTAGTGTGTGGGTTGCCACAGAGCTGCCACAAATGACAAAACCATTGATTTGAAGATTTGTTCTGTTTTGTTTTAGTTTTGTCTTGCTATCTCAGCTGAAATATTTTAAGAAAACTGCTAAGCAGGCTTTGTCCTGGCTTCATTTCAGTTTGTCTTTATCGTGATATCAGTGAAAAAGTCAGCAGATTCAGAATAGGCAAAGCTAAGATCTAGAGGTCAGAAGCCTCCCAAGGTGTGGAGCTTGCATCTGCAGCTCAGCAATGGATAGAACAAACCCCATGCTGAGAATGTGTCCTAATGCAGCTGGCTGGGGTCCCCGGGGGAACCGTCTTTGCACCTTAGTCCCCTTTTGTTTCCTACCAGTCTCCAAGAACAGAGGAACCCTGGGAGCCAGGTCAAAGAAGGCCAGGTATAGGCCGCCCACATCAGGGCGGGGCTCTTGTTTAACTCACAAGGCAGAGTGCCTGGACCTGAGGCTGCTCTGCCCTGGTCACGGAGACTGGCAGGCACTCTGGTGGCCATCAGGGCTGTCTGTGACAGACTTCCTGCAGGAGACTTTCTTTGTCTTGGATGAAGATGGTGACAGCCATCCTTGTGGCTTTTAAGTGGCAGTCCTGGGCCCTCCATCTAAATCGTTGTTTTTGCTCCCAGAAAGTTTTCAGTGGCTCAGCGGCAGAGCGCTCGCCTGGCTCAGCGAAGCCCTGGGTTCAATCCTCAGCACCACTTAAAAATAAATGAGTAAATACATGTGTACATTAAAAAAAGTTTTTTTCAGAAATAGGAAAAGAGTAGAGTCACGTTATTTAGAGACATACGAGGCCAGGCCCAGGTAAGCCAGAATATAGGTGCTCACAGGAAATTTCAAACTAGGCCTGCAGATAAAGAAAACAGTGCACTTGGTGTGCATCACAGAGAGAATTAACAGAAGAAATGTGAAGTCCTCGCAGTGTGAGGTCTGTGGAAATGTGCTCACACGACAGCGTCCCGCAGGGAGGGCTCTCGGGAAGAGACCGCCTGCTGGAGCCCACAGAGGGCGCGAGTCCTGTGTGTAAGCATCTGCTCCGATCCTGATCCCGAGTGAAGTCCACAGGGAGCTGCCACCAGGACGAGGGCCTGCTGAGAGGGGGCTTAGCAGGCAGGAGGGCGGGGGGCTGCCTGCCGGGCTCCCCAGTCCCCTCTAAAAGTGTGTCAGCTTCAGGTCCCCTTCTGGACACCAGAACTGTCCCCCTACCGGACAGTGAGAGGCTCCCCAGAGCATGAGGGTGATCTGGGAGTGACAGGCACTGCAGTGGGACACGCATGCCCTGCTGGGCTCTGGGCACATCAAGGAGGCCGGGCCGAGAGGACGTTCCCAGGCCCCCTTTGTTCTATTTAGGAGCACCCAGCGGGCCTTTTGAAGCAGTGGTCCTCAGTCCCAAGGGTGGAGGAGCCTGCAGTGTCCTTGCAGCTGAGCTCTTGGTGGGAGGTTGCGTGGCCCCTGGTCTGGCGGCCTGCAGGGTCCTGTGGTCGTGCTCTCGGGTACATGTGAGCCCTTCCTTGGCAGCCTCAGGGACTGGACTTGATTGTTTTTTGTTAGGGTTGCACAAGCGACCCCATTGTGATCCTGCCAGCTTTCACAGATACTTTGAAGTTACTGGCACTGCTAGTCAGTACAGGTGCCCTCAACTCCCGACACCTCATTTTGAGCCTGTGTATGACAATGAGCCATTCTGTTGAGGGACTCAGGCCTCTTCCATCTTGTTTTGCCATGATTAGCTTCTCCTCCTCATGGTCCAGTATGGCTGTACTAGCTCCAGCCCTCACACCTGCTAGTGGGAAGATATCCTAGGTGAAGAACATACCCCTCCCTATCTTTCAAGGATACAGTACTTACTGCAGGTTGTCTGTCATTTCCATTTATGTCCCATTGATCAGGACTTAGTCACATGACCACACTTCCTGCAAAGGATGTGAAGAGTCCATGTTTTCATTGTGTGCCCAGCTAAAATTTCTGAATGTGAGGAGGAGAGTGCTTATTGAACAGCAGCCAGCAACCTCCCTCAGGTTGATGCACAGGGGACAAATGAAAGAGACCAAGCAGAGAGGTCGCTCAGGTTAACTCAGGAAGAGTTTGTGACCCCAGGATTCAGTCTCAGTGCAGAGGGGTTTAGGCAGGGATTAAGCTGACTTCCAGAAGATCCCCCCTGGGCAAGGGCAGGGGCCCAGGCAATAGCAGAGGCTACCATCACCTGCCTGAGATGAGGCCGCAGTGGCAGGAACCCTTTTCCTTTGACCCTCTGTTTCCCGCAACTGTGCAACAGCACATAGATGATGTGACATGTAATTATCCCAGCGATGCCACAGCTCAGGAAAATTAAGGTATGTAGGGCCTTGCTGGGCTTGCCTGGCCTCCACCCACGTTTCTACCAGTGCAGGGAGTCGTGGCCTGGCAGAGGCGGCGGGCTGAGCCGCCCTCAGAGTCCTGTTCCTATCTGGTAGAGGGTGAAGCCCGAGGAGGCTGGTTCTCCTCTGCACCGTTGGCAGGTGAAGGCCCTTGCATTGGCTGAGGCTGGTGTAGAGGAAAGTGCCCTCACGTGACCCCACTGCTGGCAGTTTCCCTGTGTGACTCATCTGACCCTCGGTCCACCATCCTAGTGCCACCTGTGCTACAGGTTGAGAAATTAGAGCTAGGTGGAGGAGAACTGCCTGTTGGCAAGGACCCTCGTGTGGTGGCTTCCCAGCTGGTCATTCTGACTCTCGTGCACTCTTCTCTGGTCGTAGGAGGCTCCCCAGACAGCAGGACGCCGAGGTCCTCCCAGGCACAGCGGCTGCAGTCATGCATCTCGACTGGCAGGTACTGGCCTCGCTCTGCTTCCTTTTCTTACATGTGTGTGGCTGAGGCTCACAGTGCGGCTGCCCCACGGCCATGTCAGCCCCACAGCAGACGTGGAGTGCAGGCTGACCCGCTAAGCTCCCGCTGGATAGGACTGCTTCTGTGCAGTGTGATTTGGCGGTTCCCAGCTCTGGGCTGGAGGGTTGTTGTGCTGAACAACAGGATCCCCTTCTGATTTGGTGGGGCTGGGTGTTGTAAAGGCTCCCAGGTGACTCCTTTGTGCCACAGTTAAAGGCCACCAGCATGGTACAGCTATTCAAGGCTCAGGGTTTGGAACCTGGTGCAAGCCACTGAATGTTCCTGACCGCACTTTCTCACTGGCTGGAGGACGGTCCAGCCAACCCAGCCAGCCTGCAGACTAGGCACACGGAGAGTAGGACACCAGGCCCTCAGGAGTTGCAAACATAACTCCGCCCCAGCTGCCTTCTGTTGCTCCCGTTGCTGTCACTCGCTGAGGTTGGGTGCTGGCACGACTCCTGAGTGCTCTGGTGGAGTGGAGACCCCACACCCAAGCTTCTCAGCCCTGCCTACAGCTCACCATCTCTCCCTGGACGGGGGTGGGGGCACCACAAGGCTGCAGCCCACTGGGTTTGTGCCCCCGGGGACATGATGCTGGCGTCTGCCTGTGGCCAGGGCGGGGACACTGCTCTGGACTTCGAAGGCTGGGCTGGGCAGAGTAGGCCCTGGGCTAGGATACACAAGAGGGGCACTTCTGGCTCTGCCATGGACCAGCCTGGCTGTCCGCAAATCCCTTGATGATCTGCACTCTGCGGGGTAGACAGATGATTTCCCTGTAGCAGAGGCTGGGGTGGGAGGAGAGCCCTGCCTCCTGGGCTTGCCTCCAGGATGCGTCTGTTGGCACTTGTTCCTGTCCTCAGGAGTCCCTGGTAGAGCTGGCAATGGCAGCAGTGGAGGGCTGGGGGCTGCTCCAGAACCTGGCAGAGGGCAGGAGCTTGGCTTGAGAGCCACCCTGACCTGCCGAATGTGTCTGCTTCTAGACTGTGTGTGTTATAGGGATGGAGCCCAAGGCCTTGCACTGCTAGGCAGCCACCTACCTACATCCCCAGCTTTTTTTTTTTTTTTTAATATTTATTTCCTAGGTGTAGATGGACACAACACAATGCCTTTATTTTTATGTGGTACTGAGGATTGAACCCAGGTCCCGCCTGTGCTAGGCGAGCACTCTACCGCTGAGCCACAATCCCAGCCCCATCCCCAGCTCTTTTTAATTTTTGTTTTGAGACAAGTCCTTGCTAAGTTGCCCAGGCTGGCCTTGAACTTGTGTTCCTCCTTCCTCAGCCTTTGGAATCACTGGGATTACAGGCATGAGCCACTATGCCTGGCTTTAGACTCTTTGAAGAGTATAAACATTGTCTTTAAAGGATGATAGAACCAATAGATGAAGTCTCCCCACACTCCAGGGACATTTCTAGTATGTCCTGGCGTTATTTTGAAATAATGTCTTACACTTTTGGGGCTCCTATAACAAAAATACCACAGTCTGAGGGACTTTAACAATAGGAAGTTATTGTTCACTGTTCTGGAGGCTGGAAACTCTCTAAGTCAAGGCCCCAGCAGACGTGGGGTCTGGTGAGAGCTTGCTTGGCTGTGGCACTCCCCCCCGCCAGGTGTGCTTGTGGGAGGGTGGCCTCCTTCATGGGAACATTGATTCCGCTCACAAGGGCTGCTCCCACTGGCCCGTCACTCCCCAAGGCTCATCTGCTAGTGCTGCCCCTTGAGCTAGGGTTTCAACATAGGAATTTGTGGTAGGCACATACCTTCAGACCACAGCCAGTAACAATCGACTCAGCGAGAGGACCAACCAATAGTTAGTGAGTTATCAGAGTGCAGAGACTGGCATAGAACCAAGCACCAGTTCTCTGATTCTACTCCCCGTGTGCCCCTTTGACTGTGGCACGCAGTGAGACCTGCCTGTGCGTTCACCTGTGTGGCCAGGCTCCAGTGAGTCTGAACTTCCTGTGGAGATGATCCAAGCTGTCAAAAGTGACTGCTGAGGGACTGGGGCTGTGGCTCAGTGGGACAGTGCTCACCTAGCATGCCTGAGGCACTGGGTTTGATCCTCAGCACCACATATAAATAAATAAAGAAAACAAGGTATTGTATCCATCCACAACTAAAAAATATATTTAAAAAAGTGACCGCTGAGATTCTTTTGACTTCCATGTGTTTTCCTACCCCTGTGAAGTACAGCCACATCTGATGAGATTCTCTCTTCCTTGCCTGTGGGTGGGGGGAGCTCTACCCACCAGAGGTCTCGTGGTGGGCTGGCAGCAGCTTGGGGTCTTGCGCCTGTTGAAACCGTGGACTTGCTCTGCGTCAGCACGCTGGCTCATTGGATTCCAGTCTGTCGAGGCCGTCTCTGCTCAGGGCTCTTCTTTGTCTTCACCAGGGCCATTGCTCACAGCACTCCTGCAAGACGTTCATCAGGGCCAACTTCACAAAGCCTGTTGAGCAGCAGAGGGACGCCCACGAGTGCGCGACGGGTGTCAGCACTGCCCACACCTGGCGGCTGGCGCCTCTCTGGCCTTCCTCTGATGACTCCCAAAACCTTGCCCCGAGCTCCGGCTTCCCCGCTCTGTGCACCTGCTCGGAGACTCTCTTCTGAGCCTCAGAGGAGATCTGCAGTGAGGTGAGACAGGTGACAAGCAAGGTCGTCTCTAGTGCCCCAGACCTCAAGACTGTCCCCTTGCCAGGGAGGGTGTGGTCACTCAGGAAGCAGGCTGGAAGAAGATGGGCTGCCCCAAAGAGAGGAGGGCCCAGTGGTAAAGTGACTGCAGAGTATAGGAAACTTGTCCTCGGAGTGTCCTGAGCCTTTGCCTATGAAAGAAGACACACTGTGCTCATTTGTGGACATCTGCTTTCCTCAGTTCCCCCAGACCATTCAGCTTCAGATTTGAATCAGGTATGGGGGCTGCTGGCCCAGTGCACCCAGCCTGGTGCTGAGGCCACTGTCTAGTGGAGGCACAAAGAGACGTGCCCAGTGGCGGGGCCTGTTACAGGGTGGAAGCCCAGTGCCAGGCCTGTGCCTGGCTGGGACCCAGCTGGGGAACGCAGTGCAAGCGGGTGTCTGCGCCAGTGGAGCAGGCAGCAGCCCTCCTGAGCCTGAGGGACTGGGTCTAGGAACAGGGAGGTCACCTTGGCTGCCTCATGGGGACGGGCAGAACCCCTGCATGCAGCCTTCACTTCTGAGAGGGACAGACTAGGCACCAGGTGAAATCAACAAGTAGAATGTTCCAGCTGAAAGGAACCTTGGAAATCCCCAGTCTTCTACACAGGAAACGGGGTCTGAAGGGGCAGCTGTCCCCGCGGTAGGTGGCTTTCTCTGACAAGCTGGCACCAGGGCCAGCCGCTCCCCAACACAGGACACTCCTCCAGAAGCGGTCTGCCTCCAGATCTAGCCAGGTGAGTGAGCATTCTAGAGAAATCCAGCCTGTTTTCCTCTGCTCCCACAGGACTGAGGCGAGGGGAGCAAGCAGTGGCAGGGCTGGTGGCAGGCTGGCCAGCCTGTCACCCAGTGGCAGCCCTTCTCCTCCACCCTCTGTGCCTCAGGCACTTCATTTTTCTCCGGAGAAGAATGAGTCTCCTTTCTCAGGAGACTTCACAGGAGCAGCACAGGTTGAGGCCAAGCTGGGGGAAGACACCTGCCCTGGGGAGGTACGCAGATGCAGGGGTGGTTGACTCGGAGGGTCACAGGGCCACTCTGGAGGCCACTCACCCCAAGGACAGAGTCCTGCAGTTCATCCTGCCACCTGGCCTCGGGTTCCAGTGGGCCCAAGAGGGATGGTCAGAACCTCGGGGCTGTAAAGGGGAGAAAAGCAACACCTCTCACCTGTGTTTGGCCGCGGAGCTGATCAGAGCCAAAGGACAGGAAGTGGGAGCAGGGCAGTCCTCCGTGAGAGGTGGGTGGGCTGGTGCACCCTGCTGAGGCAGGCCCAGCCTCTTTCTTTGGCTCCAGCTGTGGACCCTCGGGGCATGAGCAGGGCAGAACAGTGCTGGACCACCTTCCGTCTGTCCTGCCTAGGCTCTTCTCATAGACATCGGGCTGGGTCAGCTCACCATCACTCCTCAAGTGGGAAGCAGGCCCCCGGCAGATCTCCCCCTCATCGACTTCTGCAGCCCTCCTGAAGCAGATGTGGCTTTGGGATCTGCAAGCAGACCCCTGATCGACCTCACCACGAACACTCCAGATGTGAATAGAAACAGCGTGTCAAAAAACAGTGTGTCAAAACCTTTGCAGGCCGAGGGACAGGTGAGAAGTGGCAGGTGATTCCTGCTGGCTTCAGCCTGGTTTGATTCCTCGCCCCAGGGCATGGCATGGTGGCCCTGAGGCTTCTTGCTTGGCCTGAGCTTCTTGAAGTTCACCCTCTGACTCTGGTGAACCCCAGCCAGGCCTTGGGGGCAGGGGTCATGTTCCCAACTCCACACCCCCCTGGTGTGCAGAGCTGGGAAGGAGCATGAGTGTGTGAGGGCCTGGGGTCAGTGTGTGTGGGCTTAGATGTGATGGTCGAGGTTTCCTTTAAGTGGACCTGAACCGGGTGATCCAGGGGGCTGAGTTGTTGGCCTGCCCAGGGCAGCTCCGCTCACCTTGTTGTCTCTGCCCTTCCAGCTGATCGACCTGGGCTCCCCTCTGATCCAGCTGAGCCCTGAGGCTGACAAGGAGAATGTGGACTCGCCGCTCCTCAAGTTCTGATACAGCAAGGTCCTTGCCTTTAGTCTTTGTTGAAAGAACAGTCGTGAAGTGGCTTTTGAAACAAGTTTTAGAAGAAATTGCATTTGACTTAAGACAATTTTTTTTAAAACCCAAAGTACACTCACTGCAGCGGGCAGGGTAAGGGACCAGGGCTGTGGAGTGTGGCCTGGGTCTCTTCCACAGCTCCCTCCTCCCTGTTCCCACTAGACTATGGTATAACATCTAAATTAAGGATTTTTATTGAACTTTTTTTGTAAAATAGCAAGCCACTATTTTAAAAGTCAAAAGTTTGTATGAAAAATTATATGTATTAAAGGTTACCTTGATTTTCAAATGTGTAGCTATTTCATTACTCCAGTCACTGTAAAATCTGGATTGTCCAGACTTTAATGCTTTTATAAAAGAAATCTACAAAATTTATCGTGAATAAAAATTGGTATAAATGCAGAGCCAGCCTCATCTTCACAGGTGCCTGGTCTGGACAGACTGGGAACCCGCGCTGTAGTGGGCACCTGAATGTGAAGGCAGTGGACCCTGCTGGCTGAGGCCTCCAGGCCGGGTGCTGGGGCGGACCCCCAGCCTGCTCTTACCAAGGGCACCAGGGCACCTGAGCTCGCACTGCAGCTCCCGGAAGCCCCAGCACCGTGTGCCCCTCAGGCTGCTGCTGCTGACGGCCCACCCTTTACCTGCGCGGTTCCACGGGCAAGGACTGCAGGTTCCCTCCACCTGATGGCCTCACTGGCTCTCCTGTTCTGATGACTAGCTGAAGTCACTGATTTGTGCACATCTAGTTCCATGAAGACTTTGCCTAGTGGCTGCACAGCTGACAGAAAGTGAGTAACTGGGGCCACCCCAGTGTCCCCTGGTCAGCCTCAGCCTCCGCCCCAGAGAAGGCACTCGACATCAGTTGAAGACTAAGCACTAGGCACTCAGGGAGGTGCCAAGGGCTTCAGCTTCAGGAGGTCCAACTCCTGAGATCTTTATTTCACTAATTTTGTGGAACACAGGTCTCATTTCCATCTCTGAAATCCACATACCACACACTGCTGTCCCCAGGTAGCACGTGGGGTACTGCTACAGTACAAAGTAGCGAATATACGGTGTGTGACTGCAGAGTCTCAAGGGCATCGCGTTTCAGCAGCCCTGTATGTTGGCCGCAGCATGCTGAAGCTGAAAGCCCTTTTGGCTTAGGCAGAAAAACTGGGAGTTGCCTACCATTAACTTACCAAGCTGCCACTCCCCATAAGGGGTGTCCTGGTCCTCTAGACAGAGACCAAACTAATGATGCCAGCACGACCACGGCCTCACTCTGTGCCCCTCAGTCTGCCCAAGGTCAGGGTCAGATAATGGCTTTCCGCATCCCTGGGAAGTGCAGGATCAAACTGCTGCCCATGTGACCCAGGTTTTTGTTTTCCCTCCTGTCTTGTGCTCACCCTGCATCTCCTGGCACCTCCTGGCACCAGTGACCAGTGACTCTTCAGACTCTTCTTGGGAATGGGTTTTCAGAACCTCCCTCACCTACCCTCATCCCTAAAACTATTCTCTCAGGAAAGCTATCAACTCTAGTTAGTAAGAAGCCACATTTAAGCATTTGTGTCCTTTATTGGGCTTTTAAGAAAAACAGAATTTCATTGCCAACTTTTGGTATGTTTGTTATTGATCAGATGTAACACGATCGGCGTTGCTGGGCACAGTGGCTCACATCTATAATCTAGCAACTGGGGAAGCTGAGGCAGGAGGATCAGAAACTCCATGCCAGACTTATCAACGACTATCTCAAAAAAGAAGAAAAAGGGCTGGGGCTGTTGAGCACCCCTGAGTTTAATCCCCAGCACCAACACAAAACAGAAAAGAAAACAAAAACCCAAAATAAAGACCTACGTGCACTATCTCCCCTGCATTTGCGTAACCACGGTTCAAATCCTATACAAATCAATTTAGTGGTTTACACAAGCAATTCTTTTCTTGGAGGCCGCGGGTACCAGGGTGCCAGGATTGAACTCAAGGGCACTCGACCACTGAGCCACTTCCCTAGTTCTTTTTTTTTTTTTGGTAAGCACTGAGTTGCTTAGCGCCTCGCTTTTGCAGAGGCTGGTTTTTAACTCGCAATCCTCCTGCCTCAGCTTCTCGAGCTACTGGAATTAGAGGCATGCGCCACCGCGACCGGTTTACACTAGCAATTCTTAGAAAATAAAATCACAGTACCTGACATTCTAAGGCATTCTGAGAAGCCTTCCTTACCCTTAGTTGTCCGCGTAGTATCTGTGTGTTCTTGGCCTCCGTGAAGTGTCAATGTGGACTGAGGCTGGAAAAGCGGAGTCGCTGGTGTCAAGAACGCCAGTACTCTGCATCTGCAGGAGTAGCCTCTGACGTCAAACCAGATCCCACCTGAGCGCCGTGCCACGGGCATTTGAGCTCCGCGGGGCAGCTCCTGGAAGCCCCAGCACCGCGTGCCCCCGCAGGCGGCTGCAACTGCAGAGGACGGTCCACCCTTTCACCTGCGCGGTTCCACGGGCAAGGACTGCAGGTTCCCTCCATCTGCATGGCCTCACTAGCTCGCCTGGTCCTGTCCATGGCCTCCTTCCTGGCCGGCGGGCGCCCACGAGGCAGCGCGAGCGCATCCCGAGGACCGCGCCGCTCGCAACGAGCCGTGCGTACAGAACTCCAGGTCCTCAGGGTCGGTGCGGCGCACCAAGACGCCGGGCGCGGAGCCGCGGAAGGGCGGAACGCCAGGCGCCGAGCGCGCGTTTCCGACCGGGCCGCGAACGCCAACGCCAACGCAGTGGCCTGGGGCGGCTTCCGGCGCGGCGGCTGCCCGGGCTGCGGGCGGCAGTTGGGTGACGGGCTGATGCTGGCGGCGCGGCACGTCGTGTGCGCCCTGTCCGGCGGCGTGGACAGCGCGGTGGCCGCGCTGCTGCTGAGGCGGAGAGGTGAGGTGGCCATGCGCCCTGCGGCCGGGG